AATGTAACCGTTTGATAAAAATATAAATCTATTTTTAATCTAAAGGACATTTTTATTATAAAAAGAATTTATTTTTAAACAAAAACAGGTAACAGGCAAATAAATTTAAAATTTAAAATTTTATATATATATATATATATATATATATATATATATTATATATTTTATATATATATGACATGATTTTAGAGTCAGAAACAGACTTTTGTTTTAATATATAAAGGTCTTTATTTGATCAAAAATTAGACATCATCTGACCAAAAAGGCAGAGAGGAAAGAACGCCACCGAATAATATTAGTGGGTTAAACACTTAAAACACAGATCGAGCGTCCATGAGTTCCTTTTTGAAAGTTAATGCTGACATATAGGGCTATTAAATATAACGATCTGGAATTAAACATGGTTATTGGCTAGGCCATATTTCGGAAGAAATAAATGGGTCATTAGTTTGATACTTGAAGAGGTGAGAAGGTAATATAAAAAGTGAATTACTAGATAGAATTTAATTTTTAATCTAATGTTTATCCCTTTCATTTGCCCCAGATTTTTAAAATTAAGTAATGGCGTGGTTTTTCTCTTTACAAACTTAAAAACTTTTCAACATATAGAAAACAATACATATCAACATTTTGGGAAAAGCATATTACCCCAGTAGAAATATTTTTAAAATGAATAAAAATCAAATTGCTCTAAAATAAACGAAACCATAACAACAAACACAGTAATGACACTTCCAAAATATTAATTGATAAAATGAATTTCCCGACATATTACTGAAGATTAGCTTGTTCAGATCTATTCGACATCCAGAATAAGAATTCGCGTTTCCTTCTTTTCCCTTTATAGTAATAGATTCGTATTATTGCTAGCAGATAATTTTTTTAAAAAAAATTTATATTGAAAATAATATCATATCAAACATTAAGATAGTAGACAAAAAAAATACATGGTATCATACAAATATTAAAAATACTAATTTTGTATAAAAATCTACTTGGCACCATGACACCTTTTATGTTACAAAAAATTTTTGTATGTATGAAATACAATTTTTAAAAAAAAAAAAAATATAGACACTAATAAAATGAAATTATTAATAATAGGGAAAACGGTGTATAACAACAATTTTGACTATTCAACACAAAAACAATATTTTTTTTTCAAAATGCTTTTGAACTATTTGGGAAAATAAAAAATAAAAATTTAAGAATATAGGGAAAAAAAAGAATATAAAGAGTTTAAGATTAAAAGAGCTCTTTGAATAATTGTGAGTCGGAAATTTGGGCTCTCTTCTAACATCACCTTTTTGTATTTATGTAAAATTTCCACAATATTCCGTAACTTAACAATATCGCGATACAATATTTTTTAATTTTCCCCCGTAACCTTTTAAGTATTCGTTTCATAGACAAAAATTTTTTTATTTGCTCTTTTATAAACACATTCAATTAATGTAAACCGTAACACACCACTTAATTTTGAACACACTTTTTGAGAAATTTGCGTTATCAAATCACAGATGTTCAGGGGGTTTCTAATAAGAAAAAAAAATAAGAGGTGAAACAAACTAAAAAACGTTTTTCCTCTTTTAAAGTTTCAAGAAAATACAAAATTATATAATGATTGTATTCTCCCTTACCACCATAATATTCAAAAATAAAATTCAAGTTATTAAAATAATTTTAAATTTAGATAAGGGAAAAAATTTTTAGAAAAAAATAAGGGGAAACTTGATATAGTCGGGATATCAAAACACCAATTTCAAAATAAAATAATTAAAAAGACATGCAATAAGGTTACGTTGAATAAAATAATTAACAAAAAAAATAAAAAATTCCCGTGGAGAAAAAAAATGCAAACGAACTTTTCTTTTTTTTTTATAAAAATGAATATCACTAGTATTAGTACATTAGTTAATTTTCTAAAAAAATTAATTTATATCTTTCCAAAATTTAAAAAACCAATTTTTTCATAAATGTTAACTCATTCGACATTTTAAGATAAAATTATAAAGATATTAAAAAATTTTTCAAAATTTTTTTATGACGCCCAACATTTTTTTTTCAGTTAAAATAAAAAGAATATCTGATTTAACACAACTGTTTAAAAATTAAATATCATATCGTATCATATTCTTCTTCTTAAAGATATGTTCATCCAAACTCAGTCACTTCAATGTTAATAAAATTGGAAATATATAATTTAACTGACCTCCACTTCGTATTGGCAGAAACCCTTGCTGAACGGTAATCCAGATGCTGTTGTCATTTTATTTACTGGTAAAACTTTATTTATTTACTTTTTTTTCTTTTTAAATTTTGAAATCGATTGGAAAAAATTCAGATTTTTTGCAACTTTCTAAAAAAATTTTTTCTGGCCGAAGGAGCTACCGTCTTTTCCCCCGGGGGTAGGGGGAATCCACGCTTCTTCATTTTTTTTTTTCGCCACGAACGTTGTTTTTTCATTTACGGCAAAATGCCCGGGCCCCTTCACAAAGGCCGAAATTTTCAATAAAAAAGGGTTTTTTTCAAAAATCGCGTTTTTTTCTTTTTGGGGATAACCGTCCCTTTTCGTAAAAAGAAATATTGTTCGACGGAGTCCTATAATCGTTATTTTGAGCACTTTTCTAGATGGTTGGTATACTTGGGTTCGTTTTACTTTTTAAAATTTTTTACGAATATATTTAAATTTAAACCTGAAATGTGTTTTCGGGAAAAAACCTGCCGGCTTTTTTTTTAACATGATTTTGATAGAAAAAATTAGTTTTAATATAAAAGGCTTTTTTTGATAAAAAGAACACTGACGCAAGAGGCAGAGAGAGAAAAAGAATGCCACAGAATAATCTTAAGTGAGTTAAACACTTTAAAAAAACCGATCGCGGCTATGAGTTCTTGAAAAATTGATGCTGACATATAGGGGTATTAAATATAACGATCTGAATTAGACATGTTTTTGGTAGGGATATGTTCAAAAATAAATGGGTCATTAGTTTGATACTTGAAGAGGTGAGGAGGTAATATAAAAGTGAATTACTAGATAGGGAAATTAATTTTAATCTAATTCATATCCTACACACACACACACACACACACACACACACACACACACACACACACACACACACACACACACACACACACACACACACACACACACACACACACACACACACACACACACACACACACACACACACACACACACACACACACACACACACACACACACACACATATATATATATATATACACTGGTGTGCAAAACTTAAGCAACAATGTAAAAATTTAGCAGATAGCCATGAAATTGCAGAAAAGGAGGTCTGGAGATCAGTAGAGGGAACACGTAAGTCAGTAGAAACGTCATGCGTATGCAAATATCAGGAACAAAACGTCAGAAGCGATGTGAGCGTACGCAAAACGCGTGGTGTCGGCGCGCGCTGCTCAACAGTAGAATGAAATGAAGGACAGAGACGCAATTCACCATATTCTCTGCAAGTGCCAGTGAGTCAGTTCGTGAAATATGGCTAGAAGAAATCATCTGGATGACTTCACACGTGGAAGAATGATCGGAAAGCTGGAGGAGGGCGTACTGTCACCAGTGTAGCTGCAGAGTTCGGAATCAACAAAAGTGTCGTTTCGCGCGCTTGGAAAGCGTTCCAAACCTCAGGTACAGCTGTTAGAAAGGTTGATGTGGCCGCCCGAGGACGACAACTGCAGGGGATGACCGATATATCATCCTGCAGGCGAAAAAAGTTCGACAGCAGTCAGCAAGCGCCATTGCTCAGTAACTCTGTACAGCAACAGGTCGACAAGTGTAGCGGTTTACTGTGGCCAGACGCCTTCACAAAGGGGGCCTGTTCGCCCGCCGTCCTGAACGCTGCCTCCCGTTGAAAGATGGCCACCGAAGCCACCGTTTACAGTGGGACAGAGAGCACAAAAACTGGACAACTGATCAATGGAGTCGTGTTCTCTTTACGGATGAGAGTCGGTTCAGTACCAGAAGCGATTCTCAACGCGTTTTGATTTGGAAAGAGATCGAGACCCGGTTTTATCTCAGTAACATCAAGGAAAGACATCGTTACGGTGGTCCTGGAGTTCTTGTCTGGGTTGGCATTATGCTGAACGGCGGAACTGAGCTTCCCATTTTCGACAGAGGGTCTGTAATCGGGGATCGCTATTGTGAGGAGGTACTTCTTCCCCATCTGCATCTTTCCGAGGTGCCATTGGCCCAGACTTCACTCTTTATGGATGACAATGCACTGCCACATCGCACTCTTGCTGTTGAGGAGCTGCTGGAAAGTGAAGATATCACTCGAATGGATTGGCCAGCGTGCTCCCTGCAGATTTAAATCCCATCGAACGTGTGTGGATGCTTTTGGGAGACGTATTGCCACACGCTCACATCATCCGAGTACAACCAACAACTCAAACAGATGTTGATTGAGGAATGGGCACTCCTACCAAGAAATGTCTGCACCAGCTGGTTCTGAGTATGCGGAGACGATGCAAAGCAACCATTGTAGTAAGGGGAGGGCATATACCATATTAAGGAACATCTGCTTGTTGTTCTTTCTGTTGGATAGACAATCATGAGTCACGATACTATGCGTTCAATAAAGCTTGTATTTGTTTGATTCCATACCGTATGCGTTGTATTCCTTTTTCAGCGCCGATGCTTTCGTCATCCTTTATGTACATAATACTCTCCCTCATTTCAGAATTTCATGTCTCTCAGATGATTTTTCGTGAAGTTATGGCAATAAACCCATCTGTTGCTTAAGAGTTACACACCAGTGTATATATATATATATATATAAAAATTTCCCCTCAGATAAATTTCAAAATGAAAAAACTTTAAAAACCTGATTTTTAAATTTTTAAAAAAGAGTCGGCGGACCGCATCTTACGTACTGACGGGCCGAGTGTTAGATACCCCTGCTCTAGACAAATCACTTTCGTATCCGTTCCTAACGAACGCAAAGAAAAGGTTCGCTGACGCGAGGGTATAGCTGAGTGGTAGAGCATTCGACTGCAAATCGAGAGGTCCTCGGTCCAAACCCGTGTATCCTCTTCTTCAGGGAAGTGAAGATAAATATTTTTTTTTGAGAATTTCGATGGTGGAAATGATCTGTCCCGTTCTGTTTATTTCTAGTCAAAGAATTTTCGTGTCCGTTCCTACGGAACGAAAAAGCAAAGGGTTTCCCCGGGACAGGGGGTAGTAGCCAGGGCAAAGTATTCGACGCAGATTGAGGGTTCCCCGGTTAAAACCCGGGGTTTTCCCCCATCTTGGGGGAAGGAAGAGAAATAGTTTCAAAATTTTTGAACAGGGAAAAGATCTGTCCGTTCTGTATATTTCTAGACAAAGAAATTTTTGCACCCCGGAAGGGGTGTGCCCCGGATCGTAAAATTCACCCTACCCAATTCTCTGCCCCAAAAGGTATAACTTCAAAAATAATTTGGGGGTCCATGTGTGTGTGTGTGAAGGGTTAATTGGAATCTATGATAATGGCTCTCATTAAACCAGATCATATGACTTTAATCTTTGAAAAAAAAATTTGATCTGGTGGAAACCAGATTTGACCAATTTAACATTTACTAAATTTAGTGAGGTTGATATGTGGTTAATAGGTGACAGCATAAATTTTATTAAGACAATGATCCTTTTAGCATTTCTTTACAAAATTAAGCTAAAAAAGTATAATATTGGACATCGCAAATTTTCATTATTTGTCACAGACAGTCTGTCAGGACATTTTAACCTACGTTCAACATTTAAATGCCCTTAGTCAGAATTTTAAAATTGGTTTGAGATTACTTTTTCTTTAATAGTAATACAGCAGTAGACAATGATTTCACATAGTCACTTTGAAAGAAAATATGTCATATTACAATAGGGAACTAATCAGAATAGGTCCTAACGAAGATTTTAAAATAATGTTTAGAAACTGATGTCAGCAGTTTTGGGCTTAAAAAGGAAATATTTATATTTGCAAATTTGGATGTAGTGAGAAAAAATTTTTAAATTTCTTTTCCTAGGGAGAGGGAATTTTACGAGTTTGCCCCTCAAAAAAAAAAAAAAAAGGGTGTGTGTGGGGGACTGGGCCTTACTAACAAAGGAGATTTCGGGTTAAACCCCACTGATTAATTAAATGCTGAAAATTTGTTATTGAAGCACGGAAACCCTCTCATTAAAAAAATTTGTTTTTTGCCCAGTTATTTCATGTTTTTTTGATTTTAATTTTGTTCATTAACATTTGTTTTTAAGTTTTTTAAAAGCTGTATTACTACAGTTTAAAAGTCATTCGTTTAAAGTAGTAACACCAACTGTTAAAAAGACATTTAAATTGATAAACTTTCAAAAAATTTTAAAATTACAAGGGGGGTGTACCCGATTGGTGAATATTAACGTCGCACTGTTTACTACATGAGGTTTTTGGATGGACCCATATTTTTTAACCATGGGT